TCGNGCCCNCCGCGCCTGCCCCCCCCTCCCCCCCCCCCCCCACGACGACCCACGAAACAGGATAAAACACTACGGTTTGCCCTTCTTGCTCCTTCCCTTCTCTCCTCACACAACCGAAAATGTTCCAACTCGCCTACTACCTTCTCGCTCTCGTCCGCGCCTTCTGGCAGCCGACCCCAGCCCCAGCTCCGGCCCCGGCCCCGATCCCGACCATCGACCCGCTCCCGCTCTCGGAACCGCTCCTCGCCATCGAACCGCTCTCGGAACCGCTCTCGGAACCGCTCCCGACCATCGACCCGCTCCCGGAACCGCTCCCGACCATCGACCCGCTCCCGGAACCGCTCCCGACCATCGACCCGCTCCCGACCTCGATTCTCAAAGCCGGACCCACCTACCAGCCTCGACCCGATCGGCAGATCAGCTTCCAGTGGTGGGACGGCTACGAGACTCGGATCGACCCCCTCGACGCCATCGACCTCGAGGAGCCGGCACACCCGAAGATGGACTTCTCCCGGGTCAACGACCGACCTCGGAGGAGCCGCCGCAAGGGTGTCCGGAGGATGAGGCCCGAGATGCCTCAGCCTGGCGAGCTCGAGGAGTTCCCGGAGCCACCAGTCGAGATCGTTGAGCAGCATCCGGAGCCGGAGCAGGAGGAGCAGGAGGACCTCGAGAAGTATCGCAATGTCACCATCCGCAAACGCAGAAACAAGCGCCGCTAGACTAGAAACTTGAAATACCAAAAAAAAATTGAAAACCACAAATACCAAAAAAATAAATAGAGCGACCGGACCGATAGAAAAACCACTAACCCACAAAAAAGTACAAAATCAAACCAAGAATACAAAAAGAGGCCCGGGTAGATAGTATTTGTAGATTACAGAACGGCTTGCAATTCAAAACTCGATTACAAAAATTGACTCGGAGTGTGTGTGCGCGAAAACGCAAAGGGGCGGAGGGACGAAGTGGCCAGGATACGCAAAGGGGCGGACGATGACGGCGGCCGAGGTCGAGGTACGGGCGACGGCCCCGCTCAGGCTCGGCGTATGTAGGGTGGACCAAGCGACGACGGGTCTCTGGCAACAGGAAGACGGATGGACAACAGAGGAGAGAGCCAGAGGCGAGAGTCGGTCGAGGCGGGGTATGGAGGCCGGCGAGAGTTGGAAAGGGCCTGAGGCCGACGACGAGCACGAGAGTGTCTGCCTGCTACGGATCAACGGCAAGGCAACGGGCCGAGGCAGCAGAGGGCCGGGGCACTCGGGGCGAAGGGCCGGTGACGAACTCGAGCTCAGCTCCTGCGGTGCGTTGCACCGGTCGACGACGGACGACGGTCGCCGAGGCGCTTGCCCGCGTCGACAATCAGCGGAGCAGCGGGTCGAGGGTGGTGGTCGAGGTGCGGGCGTGCTGCTCGACGCGCGGCGTGGGCGGGTCCAGGGTCGACGACGACACCGACGGCCGCGCCGAGGCGCCCAGCGGCGGCGCACCGATATCGGGCGAGGGGGCCGAGGTGCGGATGGCGCCGAGGCCGAGGCCCGAGGTCGACGAGTTCGGCTGGGCCGTTGTTGCCGTCGTCGATGGCGCGGCCTGGACCGGCGGCTGGGCCTGGGGCTGCGGCTGAGCCTGGCCGAGTCGAGACGACGACGAGGTGCGAGCGGGAGCGTGGTCGACGTTCTGGGCCATCATGC